GGCTACCATATGCGACGAAATTTTTAAGAAATAAAAAGGAGTATTAATTAGTCAACAAATACTTTTCTCTCTTAATTACGAAGAAAAATTTATATTGCACACAGTCACTTCATAAAGTGATATGGGTGTGGTACTAACGTAACTGAATAGTGAAGAGCCATGAACATTCCGAGGTATATTTGAAGAAAAAGTTAAGCAAATCCAAGAAAATATATTGTACCAGAGAAAAATAATGCACCTGCATAGTCTCCATCAAAGACACTATACAGATGGACAAAAGTTTACCATTTTGGCAGATCACCACCCACTAACCTGGATAAAAAGATTCTAGTTCAGATGCCAGACTATTTAATTTTGAAAATATGAATAGAGAATTGAAGTATTGAGGACTTAGTTGAGTATTTTTAAGATAATTTGAATTAGACAATGTCTATTTGCTAAGGAGGTATGCGTAAACAATTTTTTTTTCTCTTATTGATACTTACTGATTAATCTAATTTTCTCTTTCATATGGTATGATTTAATTTAGAAAAAAAAGAGACTTGTATTGGATTTAGTTAACTAGTGTTTAAAAATAAAGTTTTGAAATGTAAATATGGAATTTCGTTTTTTTTAATTTTTAAGGTTTTGTTTAAATATTTTAAAAATTTAGGAAAGAAAATTTTAATTATTAAAAATTCTAGAATTTTAAAGTTTTGGAGTTATTAGTGTGGAGTTCAAACAGCTTTTCTCCTATATTTATTTGTAATTTCTTTTAAATGTATATAAATAAAAAAATAAATAAATAAGTTGTTTTATCCTTTCGTGGCAACATGATCGTTAGCACTTACGTAGCATTGAGATGTCTAAAAATTTTGTTTTCTCAAGAAGGCAGAAAATTGTTTGAGGGAAAAAAACATATCCTTCTTCATATTCGAGAATAGTTTTTAAACGTAGAAGGAAACGTAAAAGTCCTAAAAAATTAAGCATAAATAAAAAGAAAAGAAAAACAACCCACTGATACACAGCAACACTGATATCCAGACACGTGACCTATGACCTCAGCACCAGCTGATCGCTTATAAAGAAGATGGCATGTTAAAGTCGGGCTAAGATTCTTAACATAAGTTCCAATGTTAATTAACTTGAAGTTAATTAAATACAAGTCCGTATCTCACATCGAATTCGTTAAAATATAATTACTTCTCGTCTTCGTCTTTTACTTAACTTGGATTTATTATTTGTTTTATGCATTTTATTGTAGCCATGATATATTTTTGTTTTGTGCACCTCGGAACTAAGCCTAATTTTTTTATGTTCGACATGGCTTCGTGAGTGTTTTTGTGTTAAGTAAAAAATACATAGCGAAAGAATTGAAATCGTTGTGAAAGAATATGGAATGTGCCATTTAAGAGAATTGATACTTGAATGGATTGGCTTTCTCGAAATATAATGAAAAAAACAATTGCTAGCGTAAACAATGCCTAGTTTCAGCAAGCAATCGGTATAACCCCCTCCTACACCGTTTGCAGGCATCCCATTATTAAAAAACAGAGATATAATTACTTGACTTGTTCCTCTCCCCTTTCTGAATAACGCTATACCAAAGTTGAAACTTGATAAAATAGCTTAAGCTTAGACACTTAAATATTCAAAATCAGTATAAAAAAAGATTTTTTTTAAAGATTTATGTAGAAACTAGATATTTTAAATATGTTTTTTTTTACGATTATGATAATATATACTTTGTAGGGAATATTCAACATGATAAGAAAGTAAAACTATTTCTTCAAACTCAATATTGAATATTTGGACAAAATGGTTACGTCGAAATTTTTTTTTATCATAGACGACTTTGTGTTAAAGCAGCCGACATTAGCGTTTCCTGAATGAAAAAAATATGACTCTTTTCTCCCATAAGTGTGATAGTCGTTGTTGCTGACGTATGCCTGTTTAGGCAGAGGGGGTGCGATTGTTCCTGTTTTTCAGTGGCGCCATCTATGGCCAAGAATTCGACTTCTGCCTCACCATACGTCACACCCGCTTATACGGCGGACCCATTCATATATCCACAGATCGTAATTTTGTTCTGAATCGGAGAACGACAATCTCCAATCCAGTACCCCTAGAGGTATTGATATGTTATGGGAACATGGAGGACTTTTGCGAGTCGACAGATTTAACGCGCATCTGTCACTTTACTCTTCGGCCGGCGGGGTTCGAATCCACGAACTCTCGAATATGGGCCCAGTGCCCTACTGACCAGGCTATCTTAGCCAGTGTGATAGCATTTGGGCATAATTCATTTGTCTCTAATCAGTAATCAACCCATAATTAAACTATTGTCATACATCAGTGATCTCATTACAGATTTATTGCAGATTTTTGTTTATCTATCAAAAAATTTTAGTTGCATACTAAATCACTTAAAAAAAATTTTATTAAATATTTTTTTGAGTTTTAACTAACTCAAGATGTTTTCTTTAACTAAAAATTCAGAAAGAACTTAATTAAAAGTAATACTATCAATAAAACTTTCCAATCAAGAAGAAAATGCGTGACACGGTACCGCAAATATAAAATTCGATATTGGTATTAGTTGATTCACGTATATTTTTTTTTTTCAAATTTAGTCACGAAATCAGAATTGAAACCCTATTTTATTGCTACACTTAATTTATGATCAAGAGTTAAGTCTATTATTATCATGTAATCAATAAAAAATCTTATTGAAAATATTGATAGCTGAAATTTTACTTTTTACTCAATTTTAGTTCTTAAACAGAATATAAGACAGAAATAAGAAACATACAAAATAAGAAAGACGGTTTTATACCAAAATGTTGTTTAATTCAGAATCAAAAGTTCAAATTTTTATTTAGATTTTTTCTGAGGAATTTATTTTTTAAATATGAGCTATTATTAAAGGTTTCACTAAAGAACTTTTTTGAATGATTTTTAAAGGCATAAAACACACTTTATTCTAATTTTTATTTAATAGAATAAAAATCGCAAATAATATGATATCCTTAGTTATAATTATTTAACTGTTATTAAAGATATAGAATTTCTTTTTCTCAACATCTATGTAATTTATAAAACTCAAAATATTTCTCACATTTCTGAGAAACTTAAGTGTTAAAAAATAACACAAAAATATTTTTAATAGTATTTTACACTGTAATAAAATGTATGATCAAAATTAGTAGAATATGGTAAAATTCACCGTGTTTCTGGCTCTATAGGAATACCAAAAGACTCGGAAATTTTTACCAACGCAAAATAGTAATGATATTGGATAAATTAATGATACAAAATAGTGTTATAATATGCGATAAAATTTCGTAAATATAGAATTTGGAAATTTTGTCATGATTTCTTAGAAACAGATCTAATTATTCGGAAAATTTATTCGGTTAAAATTTACTTTACAATCTTGTATTATTTTTGTATTACTATTAAATTTTGTATTAGTTTTGTATTACTATTCAATTTTGATTAGTGATTTTACAGTAATTGTTCATGTTAAAATTACAGTAAATCAGATTTTTTTTTTGTTTCGTGAATTTTTACAGTAAAAATTGATTTAACGGTAAAATGTGCCTGCACACTTTAGTGCCAGGTCAGAACGTTTTACCGTAATGTAATCTTGAATTTTCATAGTGTAATTATAAGTAATTTTTACAATACTTTTTCTTGCGTACTTGCGCATGTTTATAAGTAGCGCGGAAGTACTTCGAAATATTTTTAAAAAAAAAAGAATTTTAATATTTTAACCAAGCTTTTGAGAAACTCACTATTTTAATAAAAGTATTACATAATATATTTATAAATAAATGCTTTGTTTTTATTTAACTCTCAACATTTTTTATGTTATACTTTTTCACAGTTGAAAGATAAATGTATTTGTTCAGTTATACAAAAATTTAAAATTGTAGTTTATAGAAGTATTACATATTGCAAACCATTACTATTTTAAAACAAAAATTTAATTTTAAAATAATTTTATTAACAAATATTTCTTAAATTTAAGTTTTCCGTATCCAATTCTTTTGATCGTGTGTTCAAAGGATAAAATTATTTATAGTTTTTAAAATAATAAATGTTGTAATCTGGAGAAACAATACAAATTGTAAAACCACTATTGAATTAAACAGATTTCTTTTTCAAAATATTTTTCTTCATTTTTTTCTGTTTTGGAACCAATGCTGCAGTTTGAGGATAGGACTATATATACCAATAAATATTGTGTTTCTTAGTCTAAGTTTTCGGTGTTCAAATCTTTTGATCCTGTATTTTTAAGATAAAACTATTTAAAATAATAAATGTTACATTTGGAAGGAAAACAATATATTTTGCCACATTATAAAATAAATATTGAATTAGATAGATTTCCTTTTTAAAATAATATTTTTCTACGTTTTTTTCTGTTTATGAATCAGATAAAATTATATTACATGAATAAATTCTATATTATTAATTTCTTTTTTCTGGATTATCACAAATCAGCTAAAAAAGGAATATTCACTAACAGCGATAAAATTTTTGCATTCCAAAAATTCTAGTTTTCATTATCTAATTATTTTTTTACTCATTCAAAACAAATAATATGTTACATTTTGAAAGAAAACAATAGATTTTGCCACATTATAAAATAAATATTGAATTAGATAGATTTGTATTTTACAACAATATTTTTCTCTGTTTTTTTTCTGTTTATGAATCAGATAAAATTATATTACATTAATAAATTCTGTATTATTAAATTCTTTTTTTTTGGATTATCACAAATTAGCTAAAAAAGGAATATCATTAACAGCGATAAAATTTTTGCATTCCAAAAATTCTAGTTTTCATTATCTAATTATTTTTTTGCACATTCAGAACAAACAATATGCAATAAAAAACAAAACAATAATTTTTAAACAATTCAACAATATATTTAAACAAAAAACAGCAGTTTTAAACATTTTTGTATTAATTCTCTAATAAATATAATATTTTTTATTTATTTTACTTACACGAACTTTATCTTGAGAGGTCCTGTCAAAACGTCCATACTCATTTATGCGTGTGTGTCTAGAAGAACATAAAAGAGCAAATCCGTAGATTATGGACATTGCTAAAAAGAAATACGTCGGTTTAAACGTCATCATGTATAACTCGATGCTTCTCTGTAAGACGACTTCGCTTCGTTTTGCATTTACCGCTGACAAAAGGTTTTATGAGAGGAACTCTCTTCCAATCAAGGGGTAAAAACTCGCGCATGCGCTAAGCAAATCTTGAATTTTCTTATGCTCCAGTAAAATAATTAAAGTGTAAACTGCTGAAGTATTATCACATTTTAAGTTTTTGTAATTTAGAATTGCAAGATAAACGTAGTATTTATTTAATGAATGTTTGTTTCACGTTTTAATATGTTAATTGTTATTTAATTTCTTATAGTTATAAAGTATTATAATTTTTTTTGAAGTAATAAACTAATAATAGCTTACAATAATAGCATGGGCGTAACACATAAAAGAGGCAAAGGAAGAGAGCTGTTTCTATCAGTACACGCAAAATATTCAGGATCAAATTGCGGTAAAAAGTGACAGCAATCAAGGTACTGGTGCTTTTACCGAAAAATCCATTTTTACCGGAACATGTTACGGAACAAAAAATCAGATATACCGTTTTTTTACAGAAATAATTACCGTAAAGTCATTGAATTATTTAAACTGAAACTATATTACTTTAAAAATGGATTTTACGGAAAAATGAGTTTTACGGATGATGCACCCAAAGTGCCAATACTTTATATCGTAATTTGATCCGGAATTTTGTACATTGTATACATTTTAATTTAATAGTATATAATAACGTTTAACTGACTAACCAACTATTATTTCATTCCTTAAATAATGAACTTAAATAATACAATAACACTAGCTGCAAAATCATGTGGGCCGACATTGAACCAACATTCCCCAATCTTCAATAAGTTCAATAAGGTTTCAAAGGACCGATATTTTTCTGATATAGGCCATATATACAATTGTCAGACTCACCCAATATTTTATAATCATTATTCAGTCAATATAAGCCCTCTATTGGCCCTATATAGGCCGATATTGAGACTACATAGAACCAATATTTAAAAACCTAGACATCTCAATATTGGTCCCTCGGAGCACATTCTCATAGGACCCATATTGATCCACTTTTGCGCCCAACTGGGGCCAAGGTATATTTGTTGCTAAGGAAGAAACTAAACTGTAACAAATATTTATAAGCTGTAACAAACATTTCAAAATTGATTGTCTGATTTTAATCCTTTATTCATACATTTTAACACACATGAGTTCTATATTTGTATGATTAGTTGAAACTGAAATCGTAAGTGTATGAAAGAAAAGCATTATTCAATATTACCACGAAAATGTTAAAGTTTTATTAATAAAATTGAAACCACTGTATCGTTTTAGAGTTCAAAATTTGATAATACTCTGCAGTTACGTTTAGAAATTGCAAAATTCATTCCCTGTTCTGAAAGTGACAAGAATGTTTACAGTAAACTCAATTTAATTTATCGAAAAGCTAGTTATAATGATGGTTATATTTCAACTAAAATTACCATAAAATTTATCTAATCTTCGATACAGATTTAAAATTCACATAGACATTTAGGCTCTGATGATTCCATGGTTACATTTTTATTTAGATTTAACTGTTCTGACCAACGGAGTCTTAAAGTTGCGTGAAAGAAAATGGTGGAAAAAAATAATCAATGAATGGAAATTAACATTTGTGATTCTTTTTGAATGAAATAAAATTCTACATATCAAATGAAAGTAATTTATATATATTCCTGTATTTATTATTATGTAAATTATAATATTGAATTATTTATAACAGAAACTTATATTTTAATAAAAAAAAATATCATTCAAATTCCAACAATAATTGCCTGGTTCAGATAGGCACTCCGAATGTAGATGAAAACTCTATATATTCTCTAATATGAAACTTTTTCAATACAAGTATTAGGAATAAATTATGCAAGTAAATTTTCTGATTTGAATAAAAATATATATTTGCGATAAAACTTGTGGGAAAAAAAAATAACGGTTTTGAAATATTGATTTTCAAACTAGAAGTAAAAATAACTAATATATATATATANAAACCATTTCATTCTCTCCCCTTCTTTGTATAAAATAATTTGAAAAGATTCTCTTGTTTCAAATCTGTATCAATTCTATTCACACATATTGTGTACTTAAAAATCTCAATAATATATATATATATATATATATATATATTATTGAGATTTTTAAGTACACAATATGTGTGAATAGAATTGATACAGATTTGAAACAAGAGAATCTTTTCAAATTATTTTATACAAAGAAGGGGAGAGAATGAAATGGTTTTTTCAGATCATTTTGCGTCATGAGGAACGAAATAAATGTGTAAAATATTTAATGTCTCTTGGCATATTTATTAGTTTTTTTCTATTTATGCTTCTAGGGATAAGAATTTCTAAGACGTTTTTTTGTTGAAAAAATAATTAAAAAAATTTTTAGCCTAAAAGAAACAAGGGAAAACCAACTTTTTATTTTAAAATAAGTGATTTTAATTGCCTATAAATTCAAACCAAACAAACTATAATTTAAGTGAAAGTAACAAAATGTGTTTATTTTTTCTGATACAGTGTTAAAAATGACAAATTATATATTAGATAAAAAAAATAAATTTTTATATGAGTGAGAGATTTATGTTTGAATTGAAGCACAACTACAATGCAAAATAATTTTTTTAATCAAAGTTAAGGTGTTAAATCTTAATTAAGAGTAAATTCATCATCAGTTTCAACAAATATTACAACATATTTTTGCATTCAAGAATTTTACTGAAATCCTCTTGGAATAAAAAAACAATGTAACAAAAAAACATAATTTATGTTCACGCGTAACATAAAATATTTTTATTTTTTGTTAGTGATATTTTTCTAAGGCCTTTTTTAATAGTGTTGTGTTTAGTCTAAGAGTTCACCTTTACAGTAAAAAAAAAGTCAGGATAAAATTACGGTAAGAAGTACAATCACCCTCAGTGCAGGCCATTTTTACATAGTGAAATTTTATACCTTAATTTTTACAGAAATATATAATTGATTTCAGTGGTTCAGTGATTTTACAGTAAATGTTACTTAAGAAAATACGGCATGTCATAATTTTTGCTCCGTTAAATGTTCAGGTAAAAATGAATTTTACTGTAAAAAGTACCAGCATCCTGAGTGCCGGTACTTTTTACCGTAGTTTGATTTGAAATTTTTTGCAGTGCTCATTCATGTAAGTAAATCATCTCTGAGTATGTGAGTAAGTTCTAAAATTAATTTATGAGTACTAATTTTTCAATTTTAAATGATTAATAGAAGATTAATAGAAATTAATGTTTCTAATTCCCCTTTTTTCTTAGAAAAATTTAAACTGCTGTAAAATTATAATTTCTATTTTTTAATTCATAATTTTAAGAAGCTTCAGGATCGAAGACTTTGAGAGACATTTTTGAAAAAAATTTTGAGATTTTTGGTCCGTCTAACATTAAATAATTTTTACAAGTCTTCAGTTTCAGCAAACCTCAGTAGATTATGGTAGTGACAATTATTTAGTGTAATAGAAATTAAAGGTTCTAAGTGAATTTGACAACTATCCATCGACAATTTACTTTATAAAGTCTTTCTTTTTGTACAAACTAAATGAAAAGAGTGCAAAGGCTATGACTTTAAATCAGTGTAATGTGTTTAGAGATTTCAAGCTTGTGTACAAGAAATTAATAAACTTATTCTATATTTCTTCATTTAAAGCTAATTTATTTAAATTCCCTAAAACGTTATTTGGAACCTTCATCTTATCAACTCTTCAGATGTAGAACTAAAATTTGATTTACATTAATTTAATTGTTTCAAATTCAAAAATTTAATAAAATGTTGTGCAAATTGTTATGCTAATATCGTGTTTATAATATCCGAGAGGATGGGGACAAATTATTACAGACAGAGTTTAAGTTACAGTCCTGTACGCAAAGTAAGGAATATAATTTCATAAATATTTTTTATTTCATCACATTATCAACTAATTTCTTTTAAAAGTGCTACTTTTAAAAAAAATGTATTGCTGTGACTGAAAAGGATTCATTTTAAAATAATTTTCAGTCTCTAAAGATTTAAGGAAAAAAACTCAATTTTTGCTGTTGACAATTTTTATGTACTATAAAAAAGTGCCTAGATTGGAATTTTTTAAGAGCAGAGATGAAAAACGAAATAGGGAATAAAACTTAATTAATTTTTATGATAACATGTACAATTTTTAATTATTCATTGGATATTAATTATTTTAAGTTATTCACTAAATAAAGATTGTTGCTCCATATTTTATAATTCATAAATGTATAGATTAAAAACTAAAAAATTTTAAAAAATACATTTTAAAATTCATGAAGTTATTTTATTCATTTCCCTTTCAACATTTTTTATATTTGTACTTAAATAATCATTTAATGGAAAAAGATTGTAAACATCATAAAAACTAAAAGAATAAAACTTTTTTTTCAAATTTAGCAGTTAGTTCCAGATATAAGGCAAATAAGAGTAAATCTGCATTAAGATAACTTTGAAAATTCTTGTAATAACAACATTATAATACCAAATTTTCCAGATTACTCATATTTTAATAGTTTCAGAGAAATTTCCAGAAATGTCAAATGTTGTTGATATCGTATAGATTGATATTGTTTAATCAGAGAATAATTTCTAATTTAAAATATTAAAGTATCGTTAAGATACTGTTCTAAGTATGAACTCTCTTAATGTACTCCACTGTAATCTTTTTATGTGTTACGTGTACAATGATAAATAGAATCATGATAAGTCTCTAATGATGAATGTGCACTCTGAGCGAGGTGATGGCATTTATTTCAAGATTTGTCTACTAATGTTACGAGATTCGTTTGTTCTCATTTCCATGTTCTGCTATAGAGCGTGATTAATACCGAAGTCGAAGTTTTGGAATAACATCTATATCTATAAAGTATTGTTTGATTTCGAGAAAATAGGAATATCTTATTGTGACAAAAATTGTATGAATTAAAATGGGAATTTTTTACAGGTATTTAAACTCTGTGTAATCTTGCTGTGATACATCCCTGCTGCTGTTTAATTTT